AAACTAAGCAAAATTTTCACCTCCTAGTAATGCGCAACTTGTTCGCCAAGTAAAGGCCTCTGAATTTGAACCTTTCAGATTCACGGAATCTTCAGAAGAGGACATCTGGCGAAACTGCGACTGCGTCCCTGTAGGCAACGATGGTTCAGTCCATATTATGTGCCGCCAACTATTGGCTTCCACAGTACCATCTCTACCTGATGGACACAACCAAAGAGAAAGTATTGTCGCGCTATCTATGGTGGAAGGCAGCCTGGCCTTTGTTCAGCAGGATGCCTTCCGAATGCACGACATACAGGCACTAGATTTTTCTAACAATCAGATTCAAACAGTAAACGTGAACGCTTTTCGAGGTTTAGAGGTAATTTTCCACTAGATTTAAGTGGGAATATTAGTCACGCAATTCGTTCTAGATGAAGCTGACCCACCTTAGCCTCAAGCACAACAATCTGTCCGTTATTCCTGCCTGGGCACTTACATATTTACATCATTTGCAAGTGCTGCACTTAGACGGCAATCGTATAAGCTATGTTCGAGCTAATACGTTTGACGAGACTCAACTCAATAATCTCCATTTTCTTCACCTCGACAACAATCAAGTACGTCTTCCGAAAAGATCTCCACATAATCTCTCGCCAAACTGCATTCAGATTACCTTCATTCCAAATATGGCGTTTGCAAGACTTCGATTGATCGTGCTCACATTATCGAACAATAGGATAACCCATCTGGAAAAAATGTCGCTTCCTCCCTCGCTGAGTATTCTCGAGCTCAAAAACAATCTTCTAACTCAGGTACCAGCGGACTAGTCTTTTCAAAAGCAATTTTCGAAGAGCATTTTCTAGATTCCCTACCTCGCATTGAAAGAAGAAACTGCTTTGCAAGTACTGGACCTCGACGGAAACAATATAACTTCCTTGCATTCACACTCGGAAGTACATTTCAAAAACGAGTTGAGGCTCGTGTTACGAAATAACAAAATCCAGTCGCTGGCAAGCACTTCTTTCAAAAGCTTTCGAAAATTCAAAGAGCTTGACCTCAGCTACAATCAGGTAAGACCATAAAAGCAGTAGTGCTTTATCAAATGAAGGTTTCTTCAGATATCAAGTGTACATCCGGGAGTGTTCGAAGACATAAGCCAAATAAAAACTCTAGACCTGAGCTATAATTCGATCGCTTTCATAGCTCGTGGAACATTAAAGAACTTGGCAAAAAATCTCGAACGATTGAATCTTGAGG